GCTGAGCAATCACTTGAGAAGCTGGACTCTGTAAAGATGAATGTGTCATCAAGATTCAAGGAAGACTTATCAATATATTGTGCTATGTAGATGGCACCACTTTACTTGCTGAAATTGAGGACTTGAAGTGCTCATTGCAGAAGATCAAAGAAGATGGCCTTCAAATGGATTATATCTCAACATTAACAAAAATATTCCACTGGACCAATAGACAACAACATGATGAATGGGGAAAATATTAAAATTATCTACAATTTCATCTCCCTTGGATCCACAATCCGTATACTTGGTACCAGTAGTCAGGAGGTCAGGAGATGTATTACATTAGGAAAGTCTGTAATCATAAACTCTCCAAATTACTGAAGAGAGAGAACATCAATTTGAGGACTAAGGTGTGCCAGATTCAGGCCATGGTCTTTTCAGTCACTTACTATGCATGTTAGAACTAAACAATGAACAAGGATCACCGAAGAATTGATGTCTTTAAGTTGGGGTGTTGGAGAAAAGTATTGAATATCCCACAGACTGCCAAAAGAACAAACAAATATGTCTTAAATAAAGTACAAGCAGAGTGTTTCTTGGAAGCAAAGATGACAAAGCTTCATCTCATATACTCAGGGCATGTTGTTAAAAAAGGCTAGTCCTTGGAGAAGGACGTCATGCTTATAAAGGTAGAGGATTGGCGAAAGAGAAGAAGACCCTCAACCAGATGGAATAGCACAATAACTACAGCAATGGACTCGATATATCAGAAATGGAGATGGCATAGGATAGGATAGAGTTCAGATTGATTGTCCATAAGGTTTCTACCTAGAGGAATGTCTGAACAAAAACAATGAAAGACAGGCCCAAGGGCCGTGGATTAAAAGTCACCCACCTTTGGCTTGGTAGCATTGCTTTCTGTCCACTCTAGGTCGTACAGCCCTGCTGTACAAGTTGCCATACCGCGGTCACTTGTGGTTGCTGTGAGGCTGAACACTGTGACACTGATGTGTCAAATGCATTAATGGTTGGCTACCCTATGCGGACAGAGAGTGGGGTGGAGCTCCCCAATTAAAACAAGCTTGGAAGGAAGAGTGGCATCCACTTCCATAATAGCTTGCCTCCGGAAAAACCTATGAACCTGGAGAGAGGATGAAAGGCACCCAAGCATTGAAGGACTCTCCTTCATAGGATCGCTATGAGTCTCCTGCAACTCGACGATACTTAACAACAAGGTTTCTACGAGTCCTACTTGACTTGATGGCATCTAACAACATGTTGCTATTGTTCTCAGGTGTTGTCAAGTAAGTTCATGGAAATCCTATATAATACAATAGAATGCAACCTGTCCAATCTTTGGCCATCTTCACAATCTCTGCTGAAATCTGTTGTTCCTGTCCCTGGGTCAATCCATCTTACTGAGGGTCTTTTTTTCTTACACTGGCCCTCCAACTTTTCATAGATGATAACTTTCTCCAGGAACGGGCTCATCCTGATAACATGCCCAAAGCACATAAGATGAAGTTTCAGCATCTTTGTGTCTAAGAAATAGTCTGGCCACACTTACTTCAAGACAGTTTGTTCTTCTGGCAACCCATGGTATCCATATTCTTTTCCATTACCTCAGTTCAAAGATATCCATTCTTTCCAGTCTTCTGTATTCATTGTCTAGCTTTAATGTGCATACAAAACTATTGAAAATGGAAAATTGCTGTTGAGTCTGGTGCACCTTAGTCTTTAAAGTTACATCTTTGTTCTTTAGTGCTTTAAACAGATCCTTGGCAGCAGATTTACACAATGTAATAGGTTACGTGGTTTCTTGATTGCTGTTTCCATAGGTATTGATTGTGGATCCAAGTGAAATGAAATCCTCGACAATTTCATTCTTTTTCCCATTTTTTATATTGTTGCTTATTGGCTCAGTTGAGAGGAATTTTGTATGTGGTTGTCAAGTCCATAGGATTTACAGCATTTATTTAGGGGTTATAACTTAATCATGAGAGGAAGTCACTAAAACACATTTGCTATCAAGCCAGTTACAATTCATAACGATTCTATGTATGTCAGAGTAGAGCTGTGCTCCATGGGAGTTTATTGGCTAATGGTGAAGTCTCTTCTTCTTTGTGCTGCTTCTAACTTGAACCCTTTTAGTTAGAATGTTAACCACTTGCACCACCTAGTAACTCTGCCTAGAAGATACTAAATGTGAAATATAAATTGACTTTAATGGAACAGAATGAAGGGTCATCATTTATTCTTTTCCCATCAGTAGTATTTATTGGGTAGAAGGCACTGTGATAGAATCTACTAGTATTTTTAAGATAAATATCAAGCACATGAAGGGAGGTGGACCACAGTTGGTAGGTATTTATTAACAGAGGACCATTTCATTTCTTATCACAATGCATGTGCACAGAAAAATACAGAGGAGTAAAGAAGAGTATGTGAATGGTCATGCAGCTCTGTTTAAAGTGGTCACCCAAGGGTGCTACAGAGAAAAAAAGGAGATGCTCTTGAATCAATACAACTCCTTTGCTTTGAAACTTCAACCCCAAAACAGAAGGAAGTCCCTGCTGGCTCTTTCGCTGCCATGAGGGAAGAGCACCTCACTGCCACCAGTGAAACAAGTGGGTGGACTGAAGTAAAATCACCTCTCTCTATATGTGATTTTACTGGAAAGTAGAACCACAGGAGTTGGAAATGAAACCTTGCAAATGTTAAGCTCTACTTAGCAGCCAATGTGAAAAATACCCTAGTAACAGTGGATCTAGAAGAACTTCCTGTTATGTCAATCACAAAATTCATTCTTGTAAGTCAACTCTTTCACAACAGGAGTGGGGCTTGAGATATTTTTAATAGTTTGAAAAATTGCCTTTATTAAACTCATGAATATACTTTTAATTCCCTGTTGTTGTTATGTGTCATTGAGTCACTTGCAACTCATAGAGACCCTATATACAGCAGCTCTGAACCCTGCTCTAGCGTGTGCCAAACTTATTGTCTTGACACACCTACCCCATTACCACAGTCCATACATCTCATCGAGGGTCTTCCTCTCTTACGTTGTCCCTCCACCCTCTCAAGCATGATGGCTTTCACCAAGAACTGTTCCCTCCTTGCAACATGCGCAGAGTATATCAGACAGAGCTTCAGAATCCTTGCCCCCAAGGAGCAGCCTGGTTTCACCCTCTCTGGGATGAACCTATTTGTTCTTCCAGCAGTTCATGGTATATTTCATATTCTTCTCCAGAACTTTTAGATGGGTTGGAATTTATTTCCCATTCATTTGTCCATGCTTATTTAATCATGCTTTTAATTTATCAGATTATAGCATCCATTTTTATGCTATCTTTGCATTTTTCTGTTTTTTTAAAAACGTCATTAACCTGGAATCCATCAGTTCATACTTTGTGCTAAGTCAGCCTGAACTTGGTGATCACTTACAACTGTATTTCAGGAAAGATAAAGAAAAAAAACCCTCAATTTTTAAATTATATGTAATTTGTAAGTTCGTGGGTGGTACAAAAAGATTAATGCAACTGGCTATTAATGAAAAGGTTAGCGATTTAAATCCACCTGGAAGTGACTTTAAAAAAGGTCTGAAGATATATATATTTTTTTAAAAAAATTCCATAATAATAACCTGTCCATACCATCAAGTCAGCGTTAACTTGTAGCTGATCCTGCCCATGTTTTCAGAGCCTGTCAATTACGCAAGAGGAGACTGCTTGCCTTTCTCCCTAGGAGTAGCGAGTGGATTTGAACTGAGTGTGTTTTACTCTGACACACAAAGGAGTTGCCAAGAATCAGAATCAAATGGACAGTGACTGTTGTTGTTGTTGATTGCTGTCAAGTCTAGCACAACTCATAACTATCCTAAGAACAAAAGGCCTGAAGCCTTTCTATAACTATCATCATTTATCAAAGTTCATAGAGTTTCCAGAGGCATGTTGTTTAGGAAGTGGATGCTACTCCTGCTTCCAAGAACAATGACTAGTGCTGGAATTAATTGTAGAGAAAACAATATAGGATATGTCTAATTTTACTTATCAGTTAGAATAATTATCCAACAAACATTCACACAGGATTTATTATGTGCAAGATCCCATTCCAAGAGTAAATGCAGCAGTAAACAAAACAAACAATAATGCTAACTTTCATTATGTTTATATCCTAGTGTTGAATGAACGAGAGAACTAACTACCAGCATATAACCTTATAGTTAGGAGTTATGTTCTTAATTCGTTGCACCTTTCAGGGACTCCACCAATGCAAAGAAAGATAAGAATAATATAGAATGCAGTGTTGGTGGTTCATTTAGAATAATGCTTTCCAGTCCCTCCCAGATTAGGTAGTGATTTTAAAAATCATTGCTCTTGCGTGCTACAGGATAGTATTCTGTTGTGTGAATGCACCACACACAATCCATTCTATTGTAGCCATTAGGGTTGTTTCCATGTTCTTGCAATGGTGAATAAAGTTGTTATAAACATTGACATACAAATTTCCATTCATGACTCAGTTGTAATTTTCTTGGGGTATATTCCAAACAATGGAATAGATGGGTGATATGGAATTTCTATGTTCAGCTTTTTGAAGACATGCCAAACTGCCTTCCTGAGTGGTTGCATAAGGACAAATACTGTATGAGACCATTATTATAGAAATAGATAACTAATAAAATGTGTATCCCCGAAAGAGTGATGGTGGTAGCAGAGGGGTGAGAATGGGCATGGGTAGGGTCATCACACCATTTGATGGGTAGAGAGAGGGGTAGGTAATAGATATGTGAAAGATCTGGTGTGAAAAACTAATGTATATGAACTTTGTAAGTAAACCAGAATAAAATATTTTTTTAGAATAGGATATTGGTAGTTTCACTGATTATAATATGGAAGTTGGAGATAGTTCAGGAACACCTTTTGTCTTAAATCTGCGTTCTTGGACCTATGCTTGATATAGAACATTGACTGGCCTAAAATGCAATTGCTTATGTTAAACTGATTAAAACAGCCTACCTCTTCATATGCACCGTGTAATTTGTGTCTAGATAGGTGAGCTTCCCACTCTTCCAGGTACAAGTCACGTTGCCTGAATATTCATGTATGACACAGATTACATTGGTAGGAACATCTGGTGGATCTGCAATAAAAACGCATCCTTTAGACGTCACAACAAAATCAGGCAAAACAACAACAACAAAATCCATAAAAAGCTTTACAACATAGGTGATAAACTGCCAGTACGTTTGGAAGCTACTACCTATTTGTCACTGTTGTACTGAGGTGGTTTATATGTTGTTGTAATGCTAGGAGCTGAGCCATCAGTATTTAAAATACCAACAGAAGCACTCATGGTGGACAAGTTTCAGCAGAACTTACAGACTAGGACAGAATAAGAAAAAAGGTCTGACAATCTACTTCTCGAAATTAGTTAGAAAAACCCCTATACATCACAATAGAACATTTTCTGATAAAGTGCTAAAAAAGGAATTCTTTAGTTTGGTAGGCATGTGCTAATGGCAGCTATGAACGTGAACCACCCAAAAGTCAATACAATATAGTATAGGAGTAGGCAGTGTTACACGTTATACCTAAAGTATATTTTATAGACAACATTATCCATAAAAGCACTGTGATCTGAAACAACTTGATGATAATTCATGACAACAATGTATTTGGGAGGTCAGGCTAGTTGACACCTCACCACCCATTTCCTTCTGTACCCCTTAACCTTGCAGAAAACTTTGCTAGGGAATACTATATCCTTTTTTTCACATGACTATATTTTTTATTTCTTTGGGGATACTGATATAATCAAGTTCCTCACAACCGAACTATGACAAACCACATCTCTTCAAACCTCAATTTCTGTCTCCTGTCAGACTAACTACCACTGTGTCTTGCTCTTTTTCTTAGTAGTTACATTTTTAAGAATTCATTGTCCTTGTCTGCTTCTTACTTTACCATTTATTCTTGAGTTTGAAACAGCCAGTATTCTGCCCCCACAATCCTGCCAACCCACAATCACCAAATCTTTCATGACTTTCTAGTCCTATGATCTCTTTTCAGTTTTCACTGAGCTTGACCTCTAGAACATTTGTTCTTTTAGTCACTTCCTCCTTGAAACTGTTTTGCCTTTGGGCTCCCATGAAATGGTTTTTTACACCTTCTTTATTTCTCTGGTAATTTCACCTTCTAGCATATATGTTTAAAACGTTCTGTGATCATAGGATTCTATGTCAAGAAAATCTCTTCTTGCCCCTCTAGTTCTCTGGAATGGCATGTGACCATATGGGGAATGTATTTCATCTGCTAGAATCTTTCAAGGAGGTTTTCCTAGTGTAGTCCATATCCTCTTGCAGTTCAAATCTACTAGCTGCTCCTCAGGAGAAAGATGGGCAGTTTCCTTCTGTAAAGTGTTACAGCCTCAAAATCCAAAGGACCCCAGTGGAGGGTCTCTGTGAATCAGAATCAACTAGATGGTGGTGGAGGTTTTTAATTGGAAAAGTGATTCTTCTTCTCTTTCTTTAAGTAATGTGAGCAGTGAGTTGCCGCTGATCGTATTTCTGTCCTACTTAAACAGTCTATTTAAGAATGCAGCCAACACAAGGGAAAACAAAGCTCAAGAGATGGAAAAAGTGGAACCTTTGGTACCTCTGAAACTTCAGCACCTGGAACTTTCAGTATATGATCCAGTACTAACTAATCAAGACCAAAAAGAAATATGGAAAGAGTGAATGTTTATCATAACCTCACTGTTCAGGCATGTCTGTCGCAGCTTGCCCCTGCATGTGCAAGGCTGCCTGGAAACTTGAGTGCAGAGAGAGCAAAAAGGTACATAGAAGAATGAGTTATTAAAGAATAATTTTTTAAAAGCCATTTATACACTGGAAGTATACTCATTAATTTATCTTAAATGCAAAACTACTCCTGCATGTCTCCTCAAGTCTAGTGCTGGGACTATTACTTGTAAATAAGAAATCATTGTAAGAGCAAAACATATCCTCATTGCATATTAAAACAACGATAAATGATATTTCAGCCTATCAAACTGGAAGGGCTTTTGAAAAATGGCAATATGCAACGTTGGAGTGTACTTGGGGTAATCTCATAGGAGTGAGAATATGTACGTCCTTTATGGAGAGCGTGTGGTCTTTAGGGAGTTGTGATTCTAACCCAGAGTCTGCTCAAGCCCTGTAGTTGGAACGCATCAGGGTCCCGAGGAAGAAAGACAGGGAGTCTCCTCCCCTTGTGATTTACAGATTCAGAAACTTAACAGGGAGTTGGTTATTAGTTGGATTTGACTAGACAATGATTCTAAGATGTTTGATATTTTTTGGAAAAAAAATTACAATCAAATGTTGAAGTATCTTGTACCAATGCAATTCTTTATCTGATAATTTACTCCAATTAAATAGTCCTAGACACACAAAGATCTTTGAATAAAAGGATATATCCCTTAAAGTGTTATTTAATCAAAAAGAACAACCGAAAAACAATTATGAGATATCATTTTACCTCAGTAACAATAGCAAAGTTCAACAGAGCAGCAAATAACAAGTGTTGGTGAGATTGTGGAGAAATTGAAACACTTAGTCACTGTTGGTGGGAGTATAAAATGGTGCAACTACTATGGAAGGCAGTTTGAGTTGGAAATAGAAATACTATTCACTACAAGGAATATACCCAAAAGAAACTAGAGGTGCCACACAAACAGGTATATCCACAATCATGTTTATTGCTGCATAATTCACAATACAAAAATATGGAAGCAATCCAAGTGCCCATCAAAAAATGAATAGACAGAAAACTATGGTATATTCACACAACAAAATACTATGTAGCAGTGAAAAACAAAGAACTCATAAAATATTACACAACATGGGTGACCCTGGAGGACATTAAGCTAAGTGAAATACCTCAATCACGCCACTGTTATAAAACAGGACTGATATGGGAGTTGGGGAGGAAATTATGAAAAGAGGGAGTAAGTAATAAACACTCCACTGGAACAAATGAAGGGAAGAACTGTTTAAAAGAAATATATGATCAGGAATTATTTGTATGACAACAGTCCAGAATGAGAGTTTGCAAAGTAAACTGGTAGAAGGGTGGGAGAAAGGAAGAAATCATGCAACAATGAATTAATTTTTTTAACAATAAAGTGAAGTGGGAGGTAAGGAGGAAAATGTGCAACAACGAATGAAAGAAAATCCAACTTTTCTGTAAAATTTTGTTAAAACCACAATAACAAATTATAAAATAATAAAAAGAACAATATAACTGTCTAAAAATGACTCAATAAACTATGTTACAGTCATAAAATGCAACAAAATTTAATGCAGTAGGAAAAAAATAATGTCCTAAAAAGTACTGATCTTAAGGTGCATTTGATCCTAACTAGGATCAGTTTAATTACTTGTTATAAATTTGAAAGTTGAACAATAACTAAGAATGGCAGAAGAAAAATTGATGTCTTTGAGTTGAGGTTCTGGAGAACAGTACTGAATATCCCATGGATTGCTAAAAGAAGTAATAAATATATCTTGAGAAGCATGCAACCGCTGTGCTTCTTCCAGGTAAAGATAGTGAAACTTCATCTCATATAGTTTAGGCATGTTTTTGGGAAGGGCCAGTCCTTGGAAAAGGACATGATGCTTGGAAAGACTGAAGGTCAGCATAAGAAAGGAAGATACAAGATGAGCAGATACAGTGACTAGAACAACGAGCTCAAGTATGGCAAAGATGTTAAGGATGGCACAGGATAAGGCACTGTTGTTCACAGGGTCATTATGAGTCTCGTTTGACTCAAAAGCACACAAGAACAATAACATCAAGAGAGCTAGGTCAAATTAATTTTAAAAAATTACATACTCAAAACAATTATGAGATATCATCTCACCCCAGTCAGAATAGCAAAATTTAACAGAACAGTAAGCAACAAATGCTGGCGAGATTGTGAAGAACCTGGAACCCTTATTCACTGTTGGTGGGAGTGTAAAATGGTGCAACCAATGTGGGAGGTAGTGTGGCGTTTTCTCAAAAAGTTGCAAATAGAGATACCTTTGGCCCAGCAATTCCACCAAAGAGACCATCACTGCCACCCAGCAGATATATGCACACTCATGTTTATCATGGCTTTGTTCACAATAGCAAGACATTGGAAACAACCTAAGTGGCCATCAACAAACGAATGGATAGAGAAGCTGTGGTATATTCACATGATGGAATACTACGCTGCATCAAAAAACAAGGAACTCATGAAATATTTTCAAAATGGGTGATCCTGGAGGACATTATGCTGAGTGAAATATCTCAGCACAAAAGGACAAATACTGCATAGTGCCACTGTTGTAAAACAGGGCTGCCATCAGGGTTGGGGGGAGACTCAGAAAGATGGGATAAATATTGTATACTGCATTGAAACAGATGAGGGAGTAAACTGTTTAAAAGGGATATGTGATTAGGTATTATTGTCATGACAGGAGTCCAGAACAAAGGCTGCATAGTGGAATGGACCTGGGGGGAGGGATTATATAACAATTAAAGAATTTTTCCTTTATTTTTCAAAGCGTGTACTTGCGGGGAGGGGTGGGCAGGGAGAAAAGTGCAACAATGAATGAATGAAAATCCAAAGTCTCTGTAAATTTTCATTAAAATTAATAATAATAAAAATAAACTTAAAAAATCATTTTAAAAAAATCACATACAATGAGGGAAAAGAGCAGGTCACCAAATATTATTCTAGTCTCAAGAGAGAGCAAGTGAGGAAGAGTGAGAAAGACTGATAGTTGAATGCCAGACCTTAATTATTAAAGTCTAATAATGTTATTGGTAGGATTTATGAGTGTTATTGAGATTCACTTTTGAGCTAGCCTTTTTTTTTAATCAAATCTATGCCAGGAATTTGGAGGACAGCTACCTGGTTGAGCGGCTAGAAGAGATTTATATTTGTTCCCATTTCCAAGAAATGTATTCCAACAGAATTTGGAAATTATCAAACAATATAATTAATATAACATGTGAGCAAAATAGTGCTGAAGTTTATTTTTTAAAATGGCTAAAATAGGAGCAAGACAGCAGGAAAGACAGACAGATCTTCTCTCACACCACTGAAGAGAAACAAGACAATGTAGGATG